TGATGTCATCAAATATCCAAAACAAATCCCAGGTGCGCATTTGAGAGAGCCCCTAGCAAAAATACGGACGCGGTTGAAATATATATATATATACAGTACATACATGTCCTCCAAAATCGGGTTGCCTCATTCATGTCAAACACAAACACACACACACACATGATTGCTTCCCCCTGGATGGCAGCTGGGTCTCTCTGGATCGCAGCTTTGAAGAAGCTTCTCTGCCGAGGGGTCAGCTGTACGTCGATCAGCATCTGGAGCAACGCCTTCCCGTCCTAGTCACGAAATGGATGAAACCGTGATGAAACGGAACAACCCTTTAACGCACGAACCCGGGCGCGAAACAAACGCCCCGACCGGGGAAGGTTTCTGTGCATCTGGCATGCGCGAAACATTTCGTCACCCTCGGATGCTTCCACCGGGGGAAACCCGCCTCTGACTAGCATGGTGACCTGACTCCCTCAGTAGGGAAACCAATGCCCCCCCCAAAAACTTAAAGGTTACGACCAGAGGGGTAGGTGCTGGGTTCACAGCTGACCTGTGAACAGCAGGCTGCGCTGCCGGGACCGGCTGGAACGTCGAAGAGAAAACGAGGAGAACGATGGCTCGCTGTCCTGATCCTTTCCATTCCAGAGTTCCTGCCATTAGTGCTTTCGTTTGGTAGGGTGGCCATCAGTGCTTTCGTTTGGTAGGGTGATTTGACGTTGAGGCCATGACTGAAGAAATCACTGCCAACGAGCACGCAAATGAAAGACCAGTGATTGAGATGCCCTCTGTCGCTTCCAGTTCACATGGCTTGATTCAGCAGCAGCAGCAAAACTTAACAATATGCCAAATCTGGACCTATCCTAACTAAGACACCAGAGTCATGAACTCGTGGTTTTCCCCGTCCTGCAGCATCTCGTTCCGCTGGGTCTTTCCATTCACCTCCAGGATCGCTTGGCCCACTTCGATGGGACACCTCGGTGGAGCTCGCTGTGACCTCCGATCCACTGAGTCCAATCCGACTCGCGCGACCCAAATGACTCGAAGAGAACACATCTCCTCCAGTGAGGTGGGTCATGGGCACCCAAGGTTTTGGGCGGAGGCACCCCGACCATTGATGAAGCGGCAAGTAGGAGTCAGAAGGAGCGCCCCAAAAGCACCGGTTTTTGCGGTCCTTCTGACATGACATACGGTAGACATCAGTTGACCTTGGGACTCCCCCTCTAGTGGTGAATCGTTTTTGGATGATTCTGTGTGTCCGACAACTAGGCGCCCGGAATGTCCACTTCCAGTGTACAGGAGAAAACCTGGAACAAAAAACAAACTCGTTTTCACCAGCTCAGACACTCAGGATGTTCCAGGTTCCAATTTTTCACTGCTGAGGATTGCTGGATGGCGACGATCACCAGCTCCTGAATGGCCTCATCGCTGGACACCACGATGCCCCAGCCATTCCACGTCTCTTCCTTAAGCAGCTCAGCTGTCTTGCACATTGGAAACCACGAAATGCTGTTTGATGGGCAAAAGGTGCCTACATTCCATCTATTCTACTCATACTCTGATCAGGTAGCCGTAATCAGCTGCCAAAGAAGCAAACAAACAAACAAACAGACAGACAGACAGACAGACAGACAGACACACAAACAGGAAGGAAGAAAGAAGCAAGCAAGACAAGGCAAGACAAGGCAATACAAAGCAACACAAAGCAACACACAAACAAAAGAAAAACAAACAAACAAACAAAAAAACAAACAAACAAACAAACAACCATAAACAAACAAACAAACAAACAAACAATCAAACAAAAAAACAAAAAAAAACAAACAAACACACACACACACCCACCAACAACAAAGACACTGACCATATCCCATAAATTGCCAATAAGAAGAATCCTTGAGCAGCTCCGCCTGCAAGTGGACACGAAAGGCCGATTCAGAGACCTGCTCAGGCACCACCTGTGCCCGGCTCGCACGCCACCGTAAGGTGGAAAAACAGGCCATGCCGAAGCGACGCCCCTGGTAGCTCCACAGTGGCGAGACTCCTCCGCGCGGTTCGGGCGACGCGAAGGGCGGGCTGAACTGCTTGTTGCAGCTTGAGCTTGAGCCCGAGCCCTGGCAGAAGAACAAGCAGGAGCTGAGAATCCCTGAGCAATCAATAGAACACCGGAGGGTCAGGATCGCTTCGACCAAGTCCATAAATCAACTCCATAAATCGGTTCGTGTGGGGTGCATCCATGCAATCGGTTCGTGAATGTTCATGATATCTCCTCTTCCCCATCTTCATTCCATCTTCATTCCATCTTCAATCATCCTCGCAAACCGCCCCTTCGCCAGTTCGCCGAGCTACCCTTGAACCTCGCGGTGGGGTCCTGGATGTGCAGCTGTGCGGAAGCTGCATGTTTGTGGGTCTACCTGGAAAACCAGTCCCTACCAGAAACAAAGGGTTGAAATCCAATATGGCAAGTGAGATCCTTTGTGTGATGTAAAGTGGTTGTTTGGGGAAACAGCGTGAAACATACGCCTCTTTGGGTTTCCAGGTCCCTATCTCTTTCACATCCACAACGCAATGGTTGTGACGTGTGACTGCCGTGCATCTTTGTAGACAACATACATTGAACATTTCTAGTTCCTCTACATAGATATGCCTACTCCCGTCTACATGTTTGGTGTATATAGTTGAGAAAAAGATTGTTTTAGATGGCTTGATTGTGCCTCTTGAAAACAATTTCATCGTAAAGGCAACCATATCCATCCATATATACACATCCAAGAAACCTCGTATTGAAAGGAACTCCTTCACAAGAGTTCTCTGCTGCTTATATCAGCCTTTGTTGAATTACACTCAGGCAGTTCCTTTCCCAACTCTTTCGTTGAGATGTTTTGTTCTTAACAACATTGTCTCCATATTACTATATAGTATATTTTCTTGTAAAGAGTCCAGTCATTTATCTTTGTTCGATCCGTATAACAGTCTGTTCCTTGTCGTCCTTCGTTACTGCTTGTTGCTTTTGTCACGCCTCACTTTGTCTAAGTGTATTGTCTCCATTGTAAACGTTCCTTAAGGTCCTTCATATACGATGATGGTCTCTACAGTATTATTTATGTTTTCTTGAATAAAGCTTTCTGTTTTGGAAACGCTTCCACACTTCTTCAACCCATTTTTGGTAGTCTGAGTCAATGTCATTAGAATTGGTTGTCTGTGTCGCTGTCCAAAAGGAAATTCGATCCGGCACCCCAGATTTGAGCTAATATATCAGTGATGTCTAGTGATGTCTAGAGCCGTAGATGTAGAAACATCGAGGTGGTGAAATCACTGCATATATGCTCTATAATAGTACTTTATCATATTCGAGAAGCTATTGAATTGGTTTGCCTGATTTGCAGCTCTTTGATTTTTATTTCCTTCTGATGCATCTAACAGGTGTTGTTGTGTATACGCGATTACATGAGGTATCCCTTCCCAAGCCAAATTCAAGGACCCCTTCAAACTGCTCAAATATCACCGTACATACCAGCAATGAAGTATTGAAAAAAGCAGGCCGTGCCCCAGGTAGTTCTAACTGATCCCGTTCGAGTTCGAGTTCAAGTTCGAGTTCGATGCGCGAGATTGCGTGGATCGAGCGACAGGGGGG